CCACACAAACATCGGTGACAAGATGGTTTAATCATATTCACCGATGAGTCAAAACATTATGACAATGAAGTGATGAACACTGTTCATCTAGTGACAAAATCATGTTTAATTATAATTATTAACAAGAAGAAATAATGTTACAGCCCTGGCCTCTAGAGGCTGTGTAGTCTCTCTCTTTGTTTATGCAGGTGTGGGAATACACTCAGCTGATTGGCTGCCAGGAGGCTGGACCAGCACCAATCAGATGATGATGAGGTCCACCTGCACCCTATAAAAGGCTCCTGGAATCATTCCTTCAGTGGGGCAGTTTTAGGCAGAGGTTTTATACAGCTGACTGCCACTTTGGTTGTTGTAGCCTTTTCTGTTTGGGTAACCTTTAGAGTATTTTGTACGCCGGATCCCTTTTTTTGTCTGTGGAACATTTTTCTTTGTAATAAACCCCTTTTAAAATCAATCAACTCCATCGTTTTGTTTTTTTAAATCTCTGGACACATTTTATGTTACACCCTCTGATACTCTAAACCTGGAGGTGTAACAAATAGCATATTGGACAAGGGTGGCTATGAAGTTTTAAACCATTGTATGAATCTGTGGAGATATAAAAAAAAAAAAATAAAAAAAATTGGGACCTTACAATGAAAACTGAAGTGAAAACTACCGTATTTTCCAGCGTATAAGTCACAGTTTTTGCATAGACTTGCCAGTTCTGTTAGTTATACTCCGAAGCAACTTAAATATGTTTGTTTTTCTTTTTTCCATATTAATAACACTATTTTTAACTGACGCTTTAAATTCCTAAGAACTGCAACAGCAAGTCTTCCAGTGCGCGCTCGCTTCACTCAGCTGGTGCAAGAGGAGGAACGCTGGCGGCTCCGGCCGCGATGGATGGCACCGTTCACGTGAAGCTGTTTTGACCATTAAATAAACGCATAATATATGGGACTTAAACACCAAAGTGACTTAAATGTGTTTTTTTCCTCTTCATGATGCTTTTTTGACTGATGGGACTTATTCTCCGGAAAATATGGTGTGTTAAATGTTACACCGTGTGGAGCTAAAACAATCGTTCAGGTGTCATGTTAGCTTCAAATGTCAAGTTATTGAAAGTTTTTGCTTCTTGGATATTTATTACCCAACAATGAATTTTATTTTCTAACACCATTTTCTCTTTTTTTTTTTCTCCATAGTTTTTTAATTTGGTCTGCATTCTGTTATTTTAGCCATTCATAAATCAAAGGATTTGTTTCGTTCAGGAGATGGCTGCTATAACTCTTGGCCTTTGTAACTTATTACTAAATTAACTCACAGAAATACGAGAGCTCTTAAATTACTTCAAAAGCATTGCTCCCTTTAGCGTACTTGTCTTTTTCTTTTTTAATTAAATTTCAGTTTATAACTACTCTGATACATTTAGCCTCTTGCTAGTGTTTTGTTACTTTCAGCTCGGCCTTTTACAACTTTAAGCTTCTAGCTACAGTTTTTCTCCTTCTAGCTTTTAGCTTGTGTTCTGCTTTTTTAGCTTTAACAACTGGTTTTGGCTTCTTCAGCTAATTTCATCAGTCGTTCATGTGCTACTTTAGCCTTTATAACTCAACATTCACACTGAAATGTCACATAAAATGCATTTTCTCTAGTTGAAACGACTCTTAACTGGCTTACAAATAAATATAATTATGATTAACAATTTACCAATGAAGCAATCTGTAGGCGTTAACACTATTTAACTTCAAATTGCAACCACCTGGAAAATTTCCATCTTACTCAGACAATGATGCATAAATATACACAGAAGGAACTTTTTTTTTTAGCCATGTTTTGAGGCTTTGGAGAAGCATCTTGTCCCCATAAATCTTAATTACAATGAAAATCAGCCCTTCAGGTAAATGTCGGGTAACAAAACAAAAAGATGAATATGAATACATCTGCCTATAGATCATCCAAATGATTCTACTGTAGAACTTTACCATTTAGATAATTGGATGCACGTTACTCATATTTTTCTTTACTGTCAGCAACTTTTACTGCCATACATATCAGTTCAACAATTAAAACCAAAGATCCTGATCATATAATACTGAAATCGTCTGACTTTAATTCAAAATGCCTTCAGTCTATTTGCTTATGCACTGCATATGATCCTTCATATGTCTTCAGTGCCGTCATTACTGAGGACATCTGTGCAGCACATCTTTAATCATGTCCCTGCCAAAAGAGACAAGAATACACTCTTAACGAATTTAATTAAATTGCAAATCATCCGTCTTTCTGCACTTTTTTTTTTTTCCTCGTGCGTTTAAGAGAAACAGTATTTACCCTGCTCTAAAAAACCCACCTCCAATCATTTATTACCATGGGAGTGGGTTAGGTGAGACGTGCGCTTCTGAAGCACTAACGAGCATCCAGTCTGGAGAGCGAATGTGCATAATTAGTCTGTTTTCGTCTGAATAAATGCACTTTATGCCAAGCTGATGCTACTGAGCGCTCATGTGAGAAAACCTCAGCATGCAAAGAGAAAATTTGCATGTTCCTATATAAGATAATGTCGGTGGACTGGGAATGATCAGGCCACTGCTGAGCTGGGAGGGTGGACAGCACAGGATTGCTTACAAACAAAAATGGCTGTCAGTCTGCATTGCAATGGTGTAAGTTTTGGCTGTCTGATCATGCTCCTGCATGCTCAACAGAGAGCGACACCAGCTGAGGGGAAAAGCATTCAAACAAACAAAATAATAAAACGGGTCCAACGATAAGAGCAAGTGTCTGAGCTCTGTGTTGGGTGTCTCTATCCACCAACACGATCAACAGACGGGAGTGGGAGCACAGCCATGTGGAAAGAGCACGAAAAAATACCTCCCAGACTGTAATAAATCATATCAGTGATGCATTAACACATTCATGAGGCAGTGAGGTGAACAGAGATGTGAAACAAAGAGGCTGTGATGTGAGGATTGCATGAGACGTGTTGAAAACTCAGCCCAAGTGTTTCAACAGCAGGTTTCACTACCAGGACAGCGATGTTCATTGTTGAACCATAAAATGCTACAAAATCTTATAAAGATTTTATTTTCTCCATGTGAGACAGTTTGAAGCCTTCAGGTGATGCAACACTTCGGATATTAAGTCGAGCACTGACCCGTATGAGCAGCTTGAACACGTCTCACCTAAGTGACCGACTTACAGAAAGATAGGTGGCCACTTTTTGCCTTTCGGTCTCGGATAATAATTAGGGGTGCAAATCTGTGTCTGGCAATTTGATTCAGTTCCGATTTTTGGTGTCACGATTCGATTCAATAATCGATTTTTAGATTCAGAAACTATTTTTTCTATTGAAATGGTCAAGTTTTTCATTTATGTAAATGACATATATGCAACGATTACACAACAAAGTAAACAAATAGAACATTTATTTAATTCAAAATCTTTTTGCATCGTTCTATATTTATACCAAAATCAGGAACAAAATTGCACATAATGCTGTAACTTTAAATTACCAGTAGTAGGTTAGCTTAGCTGCCTGGCTTTTTAAAAAATAAAATAAAATAAAAAAATCTAGGAACAAATAATTCATCTAAATAATGTTTGTGCCTGTCTGGAAGTGTGTGAGTGCATTCAAATGAGCAAAATATCTACAAAAAAAAAAAAAAACACTGAGTTTTAATGAAACTTGTAGAAATTATAAAATGCATTCCTTCAAGAAACACTAGGCCTTTAATTGATTAATTCTATTTTTTTGTTACATTTGCAGGGGGAGTTTGCATGTTCTCTCCGTGCATGCGTGGGTTTTCTCCTGGTACTCCGGTTTCCTCCCACAGACCAAAAACATGCATGTTAGACTGATTGGTAATTTAAATTGTCTCTAGGTGTGAGTGAGAGAGTGAATGGTTGTCTCTGTGTCCCTGTGATGGACTTGCGACCTGTCCAGGGTGTCCCCCGCCCCTCGCACAGTGATTGGTGGACATGGGCACTGGCGACCCCTGTGACCCAAAATGGAAGAAGCGGGTAAAGATAATGGATGGATTTGCAGGGATTTGCTGTATTTTGATATTTTCATCCATCCACTGATGTTTTTCAAAGTGACCACAGTCTGAACGGTCATGTCGCATGTCGTCTGACTTTTACATGATTAAAGTAGGGGTAAGCAGAACGATTCAGATATTGATATATCGAAACCATCATGTTAAATCTCAGAACTCTGCATGTCTTCAGCTACACAACAGAAGTCCAGTTGATTTGTCTTTTTAAAACTTTATCAATTTGACATGTCCGGTGATGGGCTTGCAACCTGTTCAGGGTGTACCCCCCTCCTCGCTCGTGACTGCTGGACATGTGCACCATCAACCTCCACGACCCAGAAAGGAAGAAGCGTAAAGATATTGGATGGAGACATTTGTCCTGTCCTGGATGACAGAATTTACACCAACATAGGATACTAACGGTGACACACAAACGTGTTGGATTGTATCAATATGACGGGTTCAAAACTTGAGCTTGTTTCTAATTTCAGTGCGTCACTCCCATTCCAGATGTGCGATTTTAAACTGGAGTAGGCAAGATAAAATGTAAACACTGGACGAAACAATCAGATAATTTAATCGGTTCTGATTGTACAACTTCAGAAACATGTGTAGCATCTTTATTTACTTGTGTAAACACAGCGTGCTGACTGTGATATGTCTTCTGCGCATGCAGGTCACGTTAGGGTCATAAAGAGTTCATACTGGAGTCTGACGACGGTCCGATTTAAATTATAATGTGAACGAAAACGCAAAACCATCAAATCTGAGCAAAAACATCTGAACTGAGCATTAAGATCTGCATTGTAAAAAAAATTAAACTCGTTCTTTCTTACAAGAATTTTATTGCTTCAAGATTTTCTTTTAAAATCTCCATTAGTGGAAAAGAGGTATAGAATAAATCAAATAAACAGCATACACTAGCAGAAGTGTAAGTTATCATTTATTTGATGCATCAAAAGGATAAAAATATTTATCTGAACCCATTTTATATGAAAGTCTTTCGTCAACCACAAAGCCTGAAATGTTAAAAATTCAATCTGAATCGTCTTCAAGATCAGGAAAACTAATTCACGAGGACAGTTTAACACAGATTTGACATTTTTATTTGGTTTCCTGTTTGCTTGTTCCATCAAAATGCTTTTTGACATATTTAGTTTTATTCATAAAAATAAGTTGTCTGAAGGATGAACAAATTGCTTAAAAAAAAAAACTATGCTGCCACCTCCTGGGCAAAACCCTGCATGAGACTGCTGCAATGACCTTCATTTTGCACCTCATTACACGCTCAGCTCCTCCGAGGATCAAGAGAAGCGTACGCTCCCAGCAGATGTGTAGTAGCCAGTGCAGTCTGTCGAATATCTCTGAGACAGGTGGACAGCGTTCAGCTCGAAGCCACCGAAACAAAACGCAGCAAATTTCTGTGAAGGAAAACAAAACAATATATACATTTAAGCTTCAAAACTATTTTATTGTAGATAGCTCAGAGTGTCTTCAAACGTACATCCTTAAAAAAACATTTTTATCTGATAAGTGTTAAAATATCAAAATTATTTATTGACAAAGAGAAGAGTAACATATTTGTGTTCTATTTCATATAGGCTTCGCCCTTTAAGGCTGTCGCTGATGGTTTATCCCGTTATGCAGAGCATAAGCACTGAAAAAAAATTAGTCCACGCCCACCTGCTGTGTGGGCCCACCCGGTCCGTATAAATTACGTTAAGAGCGGGAAATCGGCTCCCATTTTTTCTTCAGCGAGCTAATATAGCACTGTCAGAAGAACAAAGAAGATAAATTGTGTAAATGACCAACCTTTGCGAAAGATGCTTGGCCCGGCAGTCGACCTCCGGTCGTCCGGTGAGTTCTCCTCCCCGAGGAGAAGATGACAGCAGTCTTATTCCAAGGTAAGCGTCGTGGAACATTTCCCAGTGACAGGTCACTACACGCTGGACAACGCCATCTTGTGGTTTTCCTCTTATCGCCGACCCTCGGGGCGAACCGGATGGTTCCTCCGGGGCAAGGCGTGCTCAGCTGCAGCCCCGCTGCTCTTTCCCTCCTGGGGAGCGTAGTGTAGGTGGAGGGGGGCTGAGTGAATGCTCACCCCATCCCACCTCGTTTCGCATCGGCGATCACACCGCTCCCGGCCGACGGCGCCCTCAGGGGTTGCCCGGCGGAACCCAGGAGGAGGCTGACATGAAGGGACCCCTTTTTTCTACGTCCCTCGCCTTTTCCCGCCAGTTCGGATGATCGGCGGAAAGGTTATTTTTCACTGGGCTCCACTCTGGCTCACCGTCTTGATCCATACGGCCTCGCGTTCCAACAGGACGTTCCACGGGCGAGGCCGCAGACGGTTCTTTCCTGGTAGATTAGAGGAGTCGGTCCCCAGTCCGCTCCCATCACCAGAGTTGAGGGATTCACCGAGCGGGGCTATTCCTCGGTAACCCCCCCCC